TTAAACTACATCCCCGAAGTCCTCAAACCCTAAACCCTAAACGGCCCTAAACCCCTCAAGAACCTGGTGTCTTAGACAATGTTCTGAGCACCGCGATTGCCTGGAAGCTGCTTGGAGGCTTCGGCCGCAGAAGCTCCTCCACGGGCCTGCCGCAGGGTTCTGGGAGCCATGGGTTGAAGCTTAAGCTTCAGAAAGATGTTTATTTAGGGTTTAGGGTTTTGGGATTAGGGTTTAGGGTTCAGGGTTTAGGGTTGGTGTGTCCCGTTCCGATTCGATAGACGGGTCAAATGAAAGTATCAGCCGAGATGTTGACCATTGGCTTCTGGTAGCTGTCCTCAAATTAGCAGCTCTGATCTTAAACCCCCCAAACCCCAAACCCCAAACCTGAAACCCCAAACCCCAAACCCTCGCCCTCCAAAACTGCATATGGGCCTCGGGCTGAGGTTCTGAGACTCCGAGTCGTCCTCCTCCTCCTCCAAGTCATGTCTCTCACTTCTCTGTACTGTAGCTCGGTAACACATATTATAAATAAAGGATTTAGGGTTAGGGTTTCGGGTCTATGGAGCTTAGCAGCCCAGTAACCATATTTTCAGAACGGCACCCTGCTTTTTTTTGGCTTGTTACTTTGCAAGGGAATCCAGAACCGAGAAAGGGTAAAGGCTACCACTGGGCTACCAAGGTGGCACAATAGCAGCCCTCTACCTTCTTCCGGCTGCCTGCCATCAGCGATATCAGAAGAAGGGAACCGCGCGGTTCTCTGTGAACGAGGTATAACGAGGGACCCCGACTCTTCATCTTATTCATAAAAAACATAAACCCTACAAATAAATAAACAAATCAATAAATACATATATATTTTTTATATAGTCCTAAGAAGTTCCTAGATAACCCCTAAAGAACCCTTAAGGCGCCTTAAGGTCCCTTATAAGTCTCCCTGTAAGTCTCCCTCCTTTAGTTCCCTGACTCTGGGTATTTATGTATTTGTTTATTTATCTTTTACATATAGTCCCTATATACCTAAGTAGCCCCTAAATAACCCCCAAAGAACCCCTAAGGTCCCTTATAAGTCTCCCTCCTTTAAGTTCCCTGACTCTGGGAACTAAGGGCCGCACGCGCGGGCTGACCGGCTCGCTGCGATGATCCGTCCGACGCTCAGGGCTGGAGGTCGCGTCATAGTGAGGTGATCTGCCAGTACATTTAGGGTTTAGGGTTTAGGGTTTAGGGTTGAGGGTTGAGGGTTTGTAGATTTCAGGGTAGTTGCATGGGTTCCTTACTGTGGGCCCTTACACTGGGGGAACCCGTATGTACCCCTTGAAACCCAAGGGCCCTGCAGGGAAGCTAAGGGAGCAAACTAAGGGACCATGTTGCTTTCCTTAGAGGCAAGGGACAACACAACGGCTGCTCTGAATCGCAGCTGCTGAACAAGAAAGACATAGTGGCCACTTCGAGCTAAGCTGTTGCCAGCTTGGGTGTAGGGTAGAACAGACCTAAACCCTAAACCCTAAACCCTAAACCCTAAACCCTAAACCCTAAACCCTAAACCCTAAACCCTAAACCCTACAAGTGCCGAGTTGGGAGTTCTTGAGACTTGTGCCTGGGAACTCCGCATGCATACTTCTGTGCGCGCACTTGGTTTGGGAGACGAGCGTTGCTTGCAACCTCAGCAAACCCAAGTGTTGAAGCCATGGCAATTCTATCCGCAGGTTCCATGCTGCAACACTTTTCGAGCGGTCAGGATGAGGAAGCCATCATACCAATCATGTCAAGTACATTTCCTTCACTTCAGAATGCATATGAGCTCAAATCCAACAGCCTGAGTAGAAAGTAGTACACGATGACGATGACCAACAAATACACGGGCTTTTGGGAGCGAACGCAAGAAAACTAGTTGCACAAGCTGTGTTCAAAACACCTTAGCTCTTGATCAGTTTTGTCTATTTCTTCTGCTCGCTGCTAGAATCTCCCTGATGTTGTGGCTTCATGATATTCCTTGTAATGTCAGCGACTACTTTATTCACACTAGGCGTTTAAAGAACTAGAAACGACAAGGAATTAAACACCACTAAATGTCAACCCATACATCCCCATGCAACCCATCAATGGGACGGACAATGCGGAGCATACTGAATCCCAAAAACACCCGATTTCATAGGTTTAATAGGGTCTCTTGGATGGGATTTCGAATTGCACATCTAATTAGTTAAGTTCATTAACAGGACTGTGCGCATGCGAACACAGGAGCCCATCAGACCTATAATAAACGGGGAGACAAGCCCCACACATATGCTTACAAAGTCATCAGCCTGGTGCAAAGCCCCTATAAAATAGAGTCATAAAGCGAATGTGTCGCTCCACCCAACTCAAGTTCATCCAACATCCTGTTGCTCCCTCTTCATCTTTCCATAGGAGCAGAGAAGCCTACCAGTCCTTTGCACCCTTCACCCTTCACTCTTCACCCTTCACCCTAAACCCTGAACCCTGAACCCTGAACCCTAAACCCTAAACCCTAAACCCTAAACCCTAAATCCTAAACCCTGAACCCTAAACCCTAAACCCTGAACCCTGAACCCTGAACCCTGAACCCCATCCCAGATGCCCACACCAGGATTCATGACTCCGTCGGGCATAGAGTTTGCAACTGCGATACACACCTTCTGCACTCCCCATCTACCCGGCCCGAAATGGAGCCTTTGGGGCCTGTAAAACGCACTCAACCCTCAACTCCAACAAGCCGAATCCCCTCAAAATTCCCCTAAACCCTCAACCCTCAAACCGCAACCCTTGACCCTCAACCCTAAACCCTAAACCCTAAACCCTAAACCCTAAACCCTAAACCCTAAACCGATACGGCGTCCCTCTGGAAGTCCCTCAGTGGCCTTATTGCGGAGTTGCGGCGCCCGCGCTCAGGACTGGCCTGGCAGGTCTTTAAAAGGGCAAGCTCGAGGCTGGTTTGGGGTTTGGGGTTCGGGGTTCGGGGTTTGGGGTTCGGGGTTTGGGGTTCGGGGTTCGGGGTTTGGGGTTCGGGGTTCGGGGTTCGGGGTTCGGGGTTCGGGGTTTGGGGTTTGGGGCTTGGGGCTTGGGGTTTGGGGTTTGGGGTTGAGGGTTTAGGGCCTAGGGTTTAGGGTTTGGGGTGAAAAGCTTGGGGCTTAGGGTAGGTCTAAAACAGGAGTTCAGGGAGTTCCAGAAGTTCAGCAGGCTTCGGGTTGAACCCAGAGCCTGAAGACCAGCTAGTAAGTCACCATTCCAAAGCCACCATCGTAAACATACGATCTTTAATATCCCTGGGATTCTGTTCTAGAAGCAACCAACAGAATTCTTAGAAGGAGACTGTAGCGTAAGCCGGCTGCACCTCCTCCTGCTTCGGCATGCGCTGCCAACCTTGCCTGGACTGCGGAGACCGAAGGGTGGCAGCACGGTCAACAAGGCGACATCTGAGCAAACGTAAAGCTAGAGCAAGACTGTGCCTCGCCTTGAAGAATTTTCAAGAGAACACAGAGGACATTGTGGCCTACTTCGGCACGACATCACAGTGAGTGTGAGTGACCGGTCAGTTGAACACCTTCGTCACGAAGCAGGATCTTCAGTACTACAGTACCTCTTGTAATCTCTGAGGTGATACAGGAGTTGCCTCCCCTGTTCCCATCGTACCCTTGACAAGAGTCGGCTTCCTGCCGTCAAACAGGCCAGTTCTTTGAGTGTGCCCTCAAGAAAAGTGGCTTTTGGGTGAACAGGTACCAGGTCAGACTGCCCAACTTTGACTGGCCATGCACTTGTCATTGTGGCAAGCTGACATTGGGTTCGAGGCTTCCTCCGCGTTCCCGGGTGGCGAAAGGAAGGTAATGCAACAGCAATAGGTGTTAATGGGCATGCCCATCTGGCATAGCAGCTATGTGAGGACGAGCTCAGCGTGACGTTGGGTCGGCATTCAACATCATGGTTTTTGACGAGGCCATGTAGAGACAAAGTGAGCCAGGGCCCTTACTAATAATGCCCGTCATGGGTAGGAACATGGAAGCTGCCCAATAAAAGGCTTCCGAGAGCAACTCAGAACTATCTGCTGCAACATCCCAAATGCCCCTGCAAAAGACGAACCGCACATACAAACCCTAAACCCTAAACCCTAAACCCTAAAACCTAAACCCTAAACCCTAAACCCTAAACCCTGAACCCTGAACCCTGAACCCTGAACCCTAGACCCAAGACCCTAAACCGCAATCAAGCGCCTGGGGCTCTGACAACCTTGGGCGGTTGCCGAGCGTCGGGGCCGGGGCCGCCGGAAAGTCACGGGAAGGCAGGGGCACTTCGAAGGACTGGCGCGCGGTAGGGTTTAGGGTTTAGGGTTTAGGGTTTAGGGTTTAGGGTTTAGGGTTTAGGGTTTAGGGTTTAGGGTTTAGGGTTTAGGGTTTAGGGTTTAGGGTTTAGGGTTTAGGGTTTAGGCTTTAGGGTCTAGGGTTTAGGGCACTTTGGGGGGCTTAGGCTTCGCAACCTTGGGACACAAACCCCCAAGGCCTACATGCCCTTAAACTGTGTGAAAAAATCTTCGTCGTTCAGGGCTCAGTCTCATAGTAGGGCTAAGCCCTGAACCCGAAATAAGGAATTTCAGCTTTGGCGTTCTGACTCGACTTCCGCTTCCTGTTCTGCCTCCCCTTGGCCTTCCGTGGATGTATGTGTATAGGTATATATATAGAATACATATATATATATATGTGTATATATATATATATGTTTGTGTGTGTGTGTGTGTGTGTGTATGTCTGGGCGTGGGCGTGTGCGCGTGTGTGCGTGTGCGCGTGTGTGCCTGTGCGCGTGTGTTCGTGTGTGCGTGCGTGTGTGCGTGCGTGTGCGCGTGTGTATGTGCGTGTGTATGTGCGTGTGTATGTGCGCGTGTATGTGCGCGTGCGCGTGTATGTGCGCGTGTATGTGCGCGTGCGCGTGCGCGAGCGCGTGCGCGTGCGTGTTCGCGTGTTCGCGTGTTCGCGTGTTCGCGTGTTCGCGTGTTCGCGTGTGCGTGTGGGTGTGCGTGTTCGCGTGTTCGCGTGTTCGCGTGTTCGCGTGTGCGTGTGGGTGTGCGTGTGCGTGTGCGTGTGCGTGTGCGTGTGCGTGTGCGTGCGCGTGCGCGTGCGCGTGTGCGTGCGTGCGTGCGTGCGTGGGTGTGCGTGGGTGTGTGTGTGTGTGTGTGTGTGTGCGTGTGTGTGTGTGTGTGTGTGTGCGCGCGCGCGTGTGTGTGTGTGTGTGCGCGCGCGCGGGTGTGTGTGTGTGTGTGTGTGTGTGTGTGTGTGTGTGTGTGTGTGTCCGCGTGCGTGCTTGCTTGCTTGCTTGCTTGCTTGCTTGCGCGCATGCGTGGGTGTGTGTGTGTGCGTATATACATATCATGGCGCGCACGTGTGTGTGGTGTGTGAGTGATATATATATATATATACAGTACACTGGTATGTGTGTGTTCCATAAAGAGGGGTATGTGTGTTTCTATACATATATATATATATATATTATTTAAAAACAATTATATCTATATTTATGTATACATACGCGAGAGAGAGAGAAAGCGAAGAAACAACATGTGTGTTTGTGTGTGCATATATATATATATGTACACATATACATGTACAATATGTGGATGTGAGCATATATGCGTGTATACATATACACACAACTTTGTCTACATGTGTATGTACGACGAAACATGTATACGGTTTGTATGTGTATGTGTCTGCGTCTATGTATGGGCGTGTTTTTGTAGATGGATGTGCGTATGCACATGCATCTGCATTTGTATATGTAAAGACATGTATGCATGTGTGTCATGTTTATGTATATAACATGATTGCTTTATATGTGTGTATCTAGAAGTATTTAGCCGAAGCCTTAAAGCTAAGGGAGAGCAGATGACCAGGGCAGAGCACCAAGAGACCAAAGGACCATGAGACCAGAGGACCACCCGCATACAACAAATACGGAGAAATCGACTACCAGGGCGGACTATTGGGCCCTAGAACCCCTTAAAAAGGCCCTGTATAGGGTTGACAATGGGGATTATAGGGCCTAATAGCCCATCCGGTAAGTCTAAATACCTGGGCATTCGCGAGCGGTCGTCTCGTTGGAAACAAACAGTGAAGTTGCATGTGTTAAGGCTTATCAAGCGCAGTCCCATCTCCAGCTGATTCATCACATGTTTACGGTGCAATGCCTAATGCTCACACCAGGATGGTGAGGCTCGTCACACGTCGCGAATTTTCTAGCTTCTGCCACTTCTAAACTTCGCATGCCCTTCTCACAACTACTATTTGCTTAAGAACCCTAAAAGAAAAAAAAATCCCTATGTTACCCTTAATAAGGAAGAATATTATATATTTTTCGGGGTTCTTAAGGAACTAGTAGATAAGCCTTCAGGAACATTCTGGAGCTGATTCAGATCCGTCTCTGCAACTAAGGCAACTTGACCCTGCAAATGTAATGTCCAGTCTCGTTTGCCTGCATGGAGAGCATAGATGGCCTGCGAAACTCCTGGCAAGCAGCCGGAGCTTCTCATAAAATTTGGGGCACCGGTAATCCTAAAGCCTAAGGAGACTTCAGCCTCGGCCAGTATGAACGATGCAGTTTAGGGTTTAGGGTTTAGGGTTTAGGGTTTAGGGTTTAGGGTTTAGGGTTTAGGGTTTAGGGTCCCAAATAGCCCCAAAGCGCATCGACTCCATCCTGCAGGCGTGTAGATGGCTTGTGCTCGACGCCTGCAGCAACGAGATCAAGGGCACTCGCCAACAAAGGTGGGTGGTTTAGGGTTTAGGGTTTAGGGTTTAGGGTTTAGGGTTTAGGGTTTAGGGTTTAGGGTTTAGGGTTTAGGGTTTAGGGTTTAGGGTTTAGGGTTTAGGGTTTAGGGTTGAGGGTTGAAGGTTTAGGGTAGGGGTTAGGGTTTAGGGTTTAGGGTTTAGGGGGTTTAGGGGTCTGGCTTTCAAGATGCTTTCTCTCTTTGAAGGATGCAAGGCCTATAAGGGGCAGGCCGCTGAAAAGGGTAGCAACTGAGCTTTGCACTTTCTTGTAACTTCTGGATGAGGGTAAGGTAGGGATGCAAAGGAGCAGCAAATGCCCAAGAAGTTACTGAATCACCCGAGCCATGCCAGTAATCGAGTGCCAGCACACATGCTCGGGAGAGAAATACCGCAGCCTCATCTAGCTGGCATCGGTACTTGACTTGGGGTAGTTTTCAGCAAAACAATATGGGGGTTGTCAGGGGTTGTTGTTGACTCTTACGCAGGCTCCTGCATTTAGACGTGCTGCAGCGGATGGCTACAGCCTTACACGCCCCAGAGCCCACAAAATCAAATCTTGGGGGCTCGAAAACCCCAAACCCTGAACCTTTGCCTGGAAAATTCGACACAACAGAACCCCCTAAGCCCTCAATCAACTAAACCCTAAACCCTAAGCCCTCAATCAACTAAACCCTAAACCCTAAGCCCTCAATCAACTAAACCCTAAACCCTAAACCCGAAACCCTAAACCCTAAACCCTAAATGCAGAACACACCCTGGCGACCTGGGCCTGGCTCGGTGTGTTGCCGGTCCATGCCCTGCAGCGGCAGCAGGTGCTACTTTGCTGCGACTGGGTTTCGGATTCAGGGTTTGCATCTTTAGGGCTCCTAAACCCTAAACCCTAAACCCTAAACCCTAAGCCCTAAATCCTAAACCCTGAAAAACACCCTAAGCAGGGGTTTAGGACGAGAAGAGAGGAGCCGACGTGGCCCAGACTGGCGACGCATTCGATTCAAGCCTGTCTGCGATTCTGGGTGTTGCTTTAAAGCCCTTTGAAAATTATTTATGAATAGGTTCCCTTAAAAATTATCTATGAATAGGTTCCCTTTAAAGGGAAAGAAGGGAAAGTTTCAAAGCAATACCCAGGATCGCATTTATTCGCGAGAAGACGGCTGGGCAATTGCCATGCGCTGCAGATGCGGCCGGGTAGAAGCGAACCCTAAACCCTAAACCCTAAACCCTAAACCCTAAACCCTAAACCCTAAACCCTAAACCCTAAACCCTAAACCCTAAATCCTAAGCCGCCAAGACACCGGTGAGGCGCTCCGCGAAGATCTCGAATGATCGTGCGGCCTCAACAGAAAGAGGGGCTCGGAGTGAACAACGCGCAGAAAGGGCTTTCAGTCTTAGGGTAGTTGTATGGGTTAGGGTTTAGGGTTTAGGGTTTAGGGTTTAGGGTTTAGGGTTTAGGGTTTAGGGTTTAGGGTTTAGGGTTTAGGGTTTAGGGTTTAGGGTTTAGGGTTTAGGGTTTAGGGTTTTGGGCCCTAACCCTTTCAGGAGGTCAGAGACCATATTCAGGGCCCATGAAACTACTCCTAGATTTAGGAAGCTGCAGGGCATACCACGCCTACCAGCTTCCTGTACCCTAAACCCTAAACCCTAAACCCTTAACCTACAGTGGCACCAAGCGCGGCCTTGGATTTTGGGCGTAGTTCAAGATCCGCGAGGTCTCCGGGTACTTCTCATTTGCTGACACGTTCCTTGGAACGGCCGGTGGGCATGTGATGAACTGGCAAAGGAGATGCGGTGCATTCCACCACAAACCAGCGTTCACTTCCGCCTATACCCTGGCTTCGCAAATAAAAAAGCAACTCACAGCTTTTGAAGCAGCATAACCCTGCAAGCTTTAGCAACCTTGCTTGCTCAGTTTGCTCAGGTCACGGCGACTCAGCCGCAGTTGGCGCCTCCCGGCAGGTGTCTACATGCCGTGAACTGCCACGCAGAGTGCTCTTCGTTAAGACGCGCTCGGGGCGCTTCATGGCAGCCCAGTAACCATATTAGAAGGGCACCCTTTTTTGGGTTGGCTATTGTATAAGGGAAACCATAAACCAAAAAAGGGTAAAGAGTACCACCGGGCTACCAAGCCTTATATGGCTTAAAGGTAAGCCTGCGTGTGGCTGATGAAAGTGGCAAGCCCTAAAGCGCTGAACTCCAAATCCGTAAAACCCCACAGCAACCTTTTGAGCCCTAAACCTTGAAGCTTATCTTAAAGTCTAGGCCAAAAGCAACCCCAGCCCTAACCAAAACCATTCAAACCTTTTTCCAACAGCAAATCCTAACCTTTACTAACAGTCCTTAATCGGGATCAAGCAAACCCTAACCTTTTTTGAACAGTCCTTAATAGGGATTAAAATAGGGGGTACTATCCCTAGTAAGGACTGCTAGTATAAGGGGCCTTAAACTTAGCGTAGTCTCGTGCGGATCTGGCCTGGGAGGGCCGGCGGGCTTGCAACGCCTTGCTTTTAGGGCGGCGGGACAATTGAGGGACCTTAGGGGTTACTTGGGGGTTACTTGGGGGTTATTTAGGGGCTACTTAGGTATATAGAGGCTATAAAAGGTATGTACCGGGGATATTTGGGGGTTAGGGGGGCTATTTAATTGGGGGCTACTTAGGTATATGGGGACTATGTAAGGAATATGTGGGGGTTACGGGCGGCTTGCAGGGCTCAATGGCAGACAGAAAACTCGGAACTACATCTTTTGAGGGATGTCCCTCCGAAAGCACCACCCCAGCAACCGAAGTGCTGTTTTCAATCGTAAACCCTATATACTTGCACCCCACGCAACATAAGACAATGGTTGAAAGGTCAACATGTCGCACATCAGGGTACTCTAAATTGCGTGGCGTGTCTTCAGAGATCAACCTCCATTTCGCTATAGTATCTCCCTAAACCTCCATGTACTTTGCTGCAGAGAGGCTGGAAGAGTTAAGTCAGCGATGGACATCCGCGGCTTCGGGCGTGATGGCTGTGGTTGTGAGAGCTGCTGCTGCTGCGCGGCCTCTTTGTCTAAGGCTAGTGTTTAGAGTTTAGGGTTTAGGTTCGAGGTTCTCGAGTTTGCTTGCTGAATTTTACTGGTTCTTGGTTCTTGGTAGGGAATTAGGCCGGAATTACCTCAGAGGTTGGTACCCAAAATAACCTCTCAACTTAAGGGTATCGGGGGATGTAAGTGCCTTTCAAGTTCAGCCCAACCCAAAAACTTTGGGATCATTAAGTGGGTTTAGGGTTTAGGGTCTATAACAAATCCGAATGAATTTACAGTCCTCCTCTGGAAACAGGAGATGGGAACTGGAGCTTGACTTGGCTTGCAAAATCTCTCCCAGTCGGCCACAGCTTTCTGCAAGGAGATTGCACATAACTAGGTGTCGATTTCAACAGTCCCCAAAATTACTTATAACTAGGGCTCCATATTGAACAATAAGGGACATGCAAAATTCTCCCACATGCAATAATATGAAACAGATGGCCTCTCGGGGCGTCACGGGTGGAAGGCCTTGAGACGACATGCCGTCGCCCTCTGCTCGGCGTGCGCTGACTGGCAAGGGCCTCCTGGAAGAAAGAAAAGCCCTAAACCCTAAACCCTAAACCCTAAACCCTAAACCCTAAACCCAAAACCCTAAACAGTGCATCTTTCCCGCAAGGTCGCGAACATGCCAATTGATGACCTGTCGCGCCTGCCGAACTCCATCGATGGAGGCCTAGGAGATTGCTGAGCAGCTGCGCCATTGGCGCCTTCGGCAACATCCCTAAACCCCAAACCCCAAACCCTTAAAAACCCTAAACCCTAAACCATCAGAAGCAGAGGATCACCTCAAGCTTCCCGTGTTTCTGTTGGTGCCATCACGGTCCACCCCTTTGTGCAGCTGCATGTCTTTAAAAAATCGTCCCCCTGCTGTCCCAACTGCTGTTCATAGGTTCATAGAAGCATCCTGCGACACGGTTTAGGGTTTAGGGTTTAGGGTTTAGGGTTTAGGGTTTAGGGTTTAGGGTTTAGGTGAAGTTGTAAAAAGGCTCATCCATTCTTGTGAAGCGATCAGTTTCATGGCACAGGCTTCCTTGTGAAGCTTGGTTTGAACGACAAGATCTGCACCGCCTCACCATTCATGACTGGCTGGTTCTTAGTAGGGAAGGAGGAGCTGAGGTACCCTATATAATCCCTTAAAGGGTATAGGGTTTAGCCCGGGGTTTAGGGTTTAGGGACCCTCTTCCCAGGCAAGAGGTGCCGGCCTTGAGGACTTTGAATCGCAGAGAAACCACCCGACGCCGACATCACCTCAATTCGCAAGAGCGCGAAGGAAAATCTTGGGGCAGTTATGGGGGCTTCCGAAACCACCCTTAAGCCCCTTAAGTGCCCTTATAGGTACCGTGATAAGTACAGTTACAATTAGTTCCGGAGTACCATGAACCTCCAAGTGGGGGTTTTCAAAATTGGGGGTACCTTATTGGGTCCTTATTAAGACCCTAATTAGGGCCTCAAGGCCTGGCGTTTAGGGTTTCAGGGCCTCAAGGGTGGCCCCAAGGCATGGCGTTTAGGGTTTCAAGGCCTCAGGGCCTGTGTTTAGGGTTCCAGGGCCCAGCGTTTAGGGTTTCAAGGCTTCAGGGCCTGTGTTTAGGGTTTCAAGGCCTCAGGGCCTGTGTTTAGGGTTTCAGGGCCCAGCGTTTAGGGTTTCAAGGGAATCCTACTATTTGGGGGCCTATTTTAGGGGTCCCTAATTTTCGTAAGCCTCAAATCCCAGCCTAGGCCCTCAACCCCCACAACCCTAAGCCCCAAAAGCCTACCCCAAAAACCCTGAACCCTCAAACCCCAAGACAGAATCCTTGCAAGGATGGGCGGGCCATTAGGTCTTACAATCCTCACAACCAATCCCATAAAGCGCCCTTTGGCAGGAGTCTTGGCTCAACCCCCCCCCCCCCCCCCAAACTCTCAATCCTAAACCCCAAACCCTTAGCCCCAAAGCCCAAACCCTAACCCTAAACCCTTAACCCCAAACCGAAACTCTAAACCCCAAACCGAAACCCTAAACCCTAAACCCAAACCCTAAACCCCTAACCCTAAACCCCAAACCCTAAACCCTAAACCCCAAACCCTTGGCCCCAAAGCCCAAACCCTAACCCTAAACCCTTAACCCCAAACCGAAACCCTAAACCCCAAACCGAAACCCCAAACCCTAAACCCTAAACCCCAAACCCCAAACCCTAAACCCCAAACCCCAAACCCTAAACCCCAAACCCTAAACCCCAAAACCCTGAACCCTAAACCCCAAACCCTAAAGCCCAAACCCTAAACCCTAAACCCCAAACCCCAAACCCCAAACCCTAAACCCCAAACCCTAGACTGCAGCCAAGGAAACTTTCGCCACCGATGTGCCGGAGAGGCTCGACGAGTCGGTGCCTGCCGTCGGTCGAGGCTTCCGGATTTTTTTTGGGCCTTTCGAGCTTTTTTTTTGGGTTTTAGGGTTTAGGGTTTAGGGCTTAGGGTTTAGGGTTCAGGGTTCAGGGTTTAGGGTTCGGGCTTTAGTTTTGGGGCGCTCGGGCTTTGGAGGGTTTTCCGGGCTTTTGGGCTCCAGAGGCCGCCTGCGCTCAGGTTTCGCACCGCGTCGTCGGCGAAGCTCCGAAGCTTGGAGTGGAGAATCTGGGCCGTGATCCTCGCAGCCTGGGCTTCGGGATTCCCAAAAACCCGTAACAAAAAGCACAAAACCTAAAAAAACTAATAAACAAACCAACAAAAACACCGAACAAAAACCGTAAGAAGTCTAAAAACCCCTAAAACAACCTAGAAAAATAACCCTTGAAGAACCCTAAAGCCCTTTTTCTGGGGGCTTTCGGGCGCCTGTAGGTTTCAAGCTCTGAGGGTTTTTTGGGGGGTTTTGGGCTTCAGGGTGTTATGCTCGAGGCTCTAGGGTTTACGCAACACGGGGGGGAGGGGGGGGTGTACCTAGAATCAAGCATCTGCTAATGCAGAGAGCAGTTCGCCCTGAATACTTAACCCTAAACCCTAAACCCTAAACCCTGAACCCTAAGCCCTAAGCCCTAAACCCTAAACGCTAAACCCTGGCCTAAGCTCCAAAAGGCCCCCTAGGCTCTAGGGTTTAGGGTTTAGTGTTAAACCCTCTGAAGCCTGAGCCCTAGAACCGAAAGCCCAAGCAAGAAAACACGCCCACACCTTCAATCCTGAGAGTGAAGTCTGTGGCCAGTATGGGAGACTCCTCCTTCACCGTCCATACAAGCATACTCTTGGGGAACTTCATGGTCCCTTCGTATGGACCCGTAATTGCGGAACCCCTAGATATCCCATCTATGCCCTTTAAAGAAGGTAAGGGACCAAATTGAGGGACCATGTAACTTCTCTTAGGAATCATATGGGCAGTTTCATAAATGATGGTCACCTTGTATACTTGAAGGCTCCAATACTTCGACATCTAAGCCCGAGACCCCTAGACCCCACCCTGAACCCTAAACCCTAAACCCTAAACCCTAAACCCCAAACCCCAAACCCCAAACCCTAAACCCTAGCCTCCTCGGCGCCGATCTCCGCAGCGCGTCGGGGCGCGAAGCCGTTCGCCAGGGCGACGGCCTCCGCAGCCTGATGAGCTTTTAAGAGGCTTAGGGGGTTTACATTTTACGGGGGATTTTGGGGGTGTTTTGGGGGTTTTAGGGGGTTTAGGGAGTTTTGGGGGGTTGAGGCGCATTAGGAGTTTAGGGGCTTTGGAGGGTTGTGGGGTGAGTTGAGGGTTTGAAGGGTTGAAGGGTTGAAGGGTAGAGGCTTTCGTATTGAGGGGCTTAAGGGCTTTAGGTTCTCGAAATTAGGCTTGCGAGGAAGAGGAGCTTGTGGCATCCCAAACTGCAGGGCGGCGTATCAGCTTTGGGATTTGGGGCCCTGTCAGGCCGGCTTGAAGGCTTGCAGTTGTTTGGGGGTTGGAACATCCAGGGTCTTAGGGTCGTAGGGTCGTAGGGTCTTAGGGTCTTGGGGTCTTAGGGTGTGGGGTTTGGGGTTTAGGGTTCAGGGGTTGGTTTTTACGGGGGGTGTTGTTGGGGTTCAGGGTTTAGGGGTTCTGTTGGGATTCTATTTTTGTGAAGGGCGTTGTAGGGCTGTTAGCTGGGAGTTTAAAGCGTCGGCAAGCCTGAGAAACAACACCGAACCAGCACATCAACCAACTCCCAACTCCCAACCTCAGAAACACCCTAAACCCGAAACCCTCAGCCCTAAACCCTAAACCATGAACCCTGAACCCCAAACCCTACCTCAGAAACACATGTTGTCGAACACTATGAGCCGGCCCCTTGGCTGCGGCGTCCATCTTGCCACGGGTGGGCGAGTTCTTCAAGGCTTCACAAGACCCCATGACCTTGCGAGCCTCTCTGTCTAGGCCCAGGAGTAAACGAGGAATAAACCGGGTACCCACTTGGTTCAAAGGGGTTTATAAGGGAACCTAAACCCCTAAGAAAGGGAAGAAGGGCCTACTCTGGGTCCGAGCTGTACAACGGCGAGCTAGCTCTGTACAACGAATTCCTCATCTCGCAAATCCGAGGGCTGCGCATGCGGCAGCACCTACAAAATCACCTACAAAATTGCTCACGGCCTGTCCACCATAGGCCAATAGGCGTCCCACATATCTACAGGGTCACCTCGAAGGCAATAATCCACCTTGGCAGCCCAAGAATCAATATTGGAATACAGGTGCCGTTCTTGGAGTTATTGAGTTTTATAAGGAAACTCAGAGCCCAAAACGGGCAAAAGGGTACCACCGAGCTTCCTAGCCACCAGTGGAGCTTCAGCGGTTTCGGCGTCCCGGATGCTGCCGTAAGGATTCACTTCACCTTCCTCAAGCAGCGAGCGCCAACGCAAGGACACGGAGGTGCTTCGGTTCAAGGCCCAATTGGCGCAGACCCCAAGGGGCCGTCCAGAGATCACCTCATCCATCATCACCGCCTAGGTTGGCCCTAGAAACCCTCTGAAAAAACCCCCTAGACCCTAAACCCTAGACCCTAAGCCCTAAATCCTAAACCCTAAACGATAAACCCTAAACCCAATAGCGGGAAAAATAGAAAATATCCCAATTGGGCCTGCCTAGCCGCGCTCTGGGCATCCCACCACTTGGCCTCACCTGCTCCCAAGAAGGCCTTGGCCAACTCCTTACTTCGCCCAAAACCCCAGGGAAGAAAGAAAAACAACCTAAACCCTAAACCCTAACCCTAAAACATAAACCCTAAACCCGAAACCCTAAACCCTAAACCCTAAACCGAAACTTCAAACTGTAGGATTCCTACAAAGAGTTAAAGGTTCAACTTTCGGTGAAGTCTAAGATTCTTTCACGAAGGAACGCAGCTGTGGGCTGTGAAGCTTGGCTGCATGTTCCTCCATCTCCTCAAGGTGAATGGGCAGCTCCAACGTGGCGTTGGCCTTTTCTGGGCCCTAGAAACCCTCTCAAAAACATTCCTACAGAAGGTCCTCTTAAACCCCATAAGGGTAAATACAAAACATCCCAAGGGCCACCTAGTGGCGGCTAAGACGGTGAGCTTCGCCCTGCTCAGGAAGCCATAGACCATGTGCCAGGCGCGCGCATCCATGAAGAGGTTCCACTCCGTGTTGCCGTGCTTGGACATGTTCACGCCCCGACATCCAGCTCGCACCAAGGACTTCTGGCCATTCATGTCCAGGGGGGGGCTGAGGCCCGTGTAGGTTTGGCCACCATCTTCGGCACAAGAGCCCTTGACACCATTGAAGTTCATCTGCCAGTCGTAGACGTTGTTGGAGTCTGCCACGCCATAGGCAGAGCCCATCATGAAGACGCTGTGGATATTCTCAGCCACTGTGGGATCTCGCTCTAAGGCCTTGGCCAAGTTGGTCACAGGCCCCGTGGTCAGCACCACCACCGGGCAGCTCGAGCTTTTGAGCACCTTGATGATCAAGTCGGGGGCAGAGAAATGTGAGATCAGGTCCTCAGAGGGCTCCAAGATGCCTTGCTTGTGCATCTTCTCGAAGAAGCCATCCAGCTCGATCCGCCATTGCAATGGCATGGTGGCCACAGGACTAAGGCTCTGTGGTTCTCCGTAGGCGATGGGTGCCCTCACCTTCAGCAGCCGCGCCAGCGCCGCCATGTTGGGCGGGCCCCCGTGGGGCGTGGCCATGCCCGTAGCCTCCAGCGTCACGGCGCGCAGCTCGAAGTTGGAGCTCTTGGCGAGGTAGAGGAAGGCCAAGGCATCGTCATAGTTCCCGTCGTTGTCCCAAATCAGAGGATAGGGCGCATTGCAGAGGCGTTTCGTGTCCAGGGCCCATGCCCCCACCACACTGAGGAAGAGTCGCACTCCCATGGCTGCCATGGTGCGGAAGCAAAATGTGGGTGCGGATGGTGCGGAAGCAAAATGTGGCTGCGGAGCGGCGCTCTGCATCAAACATGGCCGGGCTGTGCCCGCTAGACACAAGTCACAGTGTCAACGTGACCCCTACAAGCTGGATCCTGACAAAACCTGCAAAGCCAAGAGAAGACAGCCCATGTGACCCATGCTTAATATTTTCGAGTATGCCCTAATGGACACCCCGTATGTACACTCACCAATGTTTAGAAGGAACCCTATATATGCGCTCACCAAAACCATAATTAAAAAAAACTGCTTCGCGTGACTCCATGGCATGACAAGTGGCCACACGCCGGGCTGCACACCCTAAACCCTAAACCCTAAACCCTAAACCCTAAACCCTAAACCCTAAACCCTAAACCCTAAACCGTAAACACCGGAGGGCGAGGCAAGACCACGGCGCGAGCAAACAGGCCTCCTATCGAACCTAGACCAACCCATGAATCACAGCGTCAGAAACCCTAAACTCTACAAGTACCTCCCAGAAACAGTAGACTCTGCAAATATATATATATATATATATCACGGGGCACCTCATGCGTCGCCATCGCTGTCATGGCAACATAATGGTCGTGGGCAACGCTGTGTGAGTCCTGGCTGTCGCTTTCAGTCACATGAGTGCTGCAGGCTTGGGCGAATAGGTCCTGTCTATGCTTCTACAAGCCAGGCGATGCATCAGGATGTGGCTGCCGCAAGAAAAAATTGCCCCGAAGGGCCATGGCATCCCATTTTCTGAAGCTCGAAATGCCTCTCTCGCACCCAATCTACAGGCCGATTGGCTGGACTTACCCCACCTTGATTTACTATTTGCTTAAGAACCCTTCCCTATAAGGGTAATATAGGAATGACCATCGTTCTTTTTGGGGGTTCTTAAGCAAATGGCAGTAATTTCCTAAACCCTAAACCCTAAAGCCTAAACCCTAAACCCTTAAGCACATGGCAGTAATTTCATCCGAGCGGCCACAAATCTCCTCAGGAACTGTCCTGCCATTGTTGCCGCGTCGCTGGGATTCCAGCCTCTCTGCGCCTAAGTCGTTCCAATTGTTTAGGGTGTAGGGTTTAGGGTTTAGGGTTTAGGCATAATGAAAGAAGCCTCAGAACCTCAAACACCCAAACCTCTCAGACACCCCAAAAAAGCCCTCACAAACCCATGAATTTAACCAGGAGCGCCTTGCAGCCATCCCCGAAGAGAATGTTTTGCCAGCCGGCCCTATGGCTAAGCAATCTGGGAAGTTCAACAACGATTCGAAATGGCTTTTCGGCAAGCCCTGACCATTTGGGTTTGAAGGACTACAGTAGGGTTTAGGGGTCACTCTTTCCCTTACTTTGAAGCCCTGTTGACTTACTAAATAGGGTGAGTAAGCGAGGATGCTAGGATGGTCCGAAAAAAACCCTCAGAAACATATTTCTGAATATGATCCTCTTAAACCCAATAAGGGACAACATCAAATATCCTCAAGGGCCCACCTTGGTAAGTATGCTCTGGGTCTCCTCAGAAGTCACCCTAAACCCTAAACCCTAACCCCTAACCCCTAACCCACGAACCCTAAACTCTAAACCGCCATTCTCTGGGTTTCTCAGAAGTCGGCTGCCAGCTTGGCGACCACCGCACCCACGGCCAGCGCGCCACACTGGAGTGCCAAGTCGCTCGGGCAGCCTGCGGCCTGAAGGTTCAGGTTTGGGGTTTGGGGTTTGGGGTTTGGGGTTTGGGGTTTGGGGTTTGGGGTTTGGGGTTTGGGGTTTGGGGTTTGGGGTTTGGGGTTTGGGGTTTGGGGTTTGGGTTCAGGGTTGCTGGGTTTGAGGGAGTGTTCGGGGCGTTTGGTCAGTGTATGTGTACAGTGGCGGTGCTAGACTTTCATCCCCTTCAACCAAAACCCCTAAGACCCCGGACCCGAAAAAGCCTAAACCCCCAATCCCCAGCCCCCAAGGCCCAGTAGAGTGTAGTAGTGTCTAGTAGAGTGTAGTAGAATGTCGTAGAATGTACCCTCTAAGCCTCTAAACCTCGAAACCCTCAAATCCCCAAACGACTTAGCAGCAGGCCAGAGCTGCTGCTTGAGCTTCAGCCGCAGCCTGGATGTTCCATGGGGGAGGGGGGGGGGGGGGGGGGGGGGGGGGGGTTGAGGGTTTGGGGTTTTAGGGTTCTAGGGTTCTAGGGTTCTAGGGTTCTAGGGTTCTAGAGTTCTAATGTTCTAGGGTTCTAGGGTTCTAGGGTTCTCGGGTTCTAGGGTTCTAGGGTGCTAGGGCTTCAGGTTCTACTTTAGGATTTCCTTCTATACATAACTCTCAGAATCCTCCCCCCCTCCCACATCAGACCTGAGCTTGTCTCTCGTGTGGGCAGTGACAAAGGCTTGAGAAGCTTCTTCTATAAGGTTCCTTTCAAGAAGGACCCCCAATAGACCCAAAACCCTAAATCCCAAACCCTAAACCCTAAAACCCTAAAACCCTAAACCCTAAACCCTAAACCCTAAACCTGACTATGTGATCACTTCCACACATCCGCTGCAACTTGCGGGCTCTAGACACCGCAGCGCATCTTCACAGGTTTCAAGAACAGCTGGATTTGGAGGTTTCCGAAATTAGGGGTACCTTCTGGGGCCCCTTTTGAGTAAGGGAATCCTACTATTTGGGGTCTCTGTTTTAGGGGTCCCCGAATGTCGGCAAACCCCCCTTTCTGAGTTGAGGGCGATGGAAGCAGCGTTTTCCGGCGTTGCGCTTTGCATCTGGGCCGCCTGCGTGAACGCGCCCCGGCCGCGAATAGAGCATGAAAAAACTCAAGGGACGGAGTCTCAGCTTGCATCCCACACCTGCATGTCCTGCATATCCTGGAACCCTGAGTGAAGCCTTGGGCCTAAACCCTAAACCCTAGACCCTATAGCCCTGTAAACCCTAAACTCTAAACCCTGAACCCTTAAAACTAAACCCCTCGAGCTTTAACCCATGACACATCTGCAGGCGACAATGGATCTGTCCTCGGAAGCCGCCAGGCCGGAGCAAAAAGAGGCAAACTCAACAGCCTCCTCTGCTGTCACGCCCTGGCAACCGGCGGCAGTTTGTTGAAGAGTTGCTTGACCAACCAGAGACCGAGCAAGTTGCCGAGAAAAGACACAAATCGCCCCTGCCTTCTCCAGCATTGCCTGGTGGATGGAGGCCGCTGCTGTGAGAGCAGCATCATGTGGGCTTTGGTTGCCAATGCCGGCTGCCTGAAAAAAGGACCCTTGGCTGAGTGTTGCTTGGCTGAACTGCGACAGTGGCTCTCAGCAAACCAATTACGACCATCTACAGATCCTGCTAGGGCAGCGTAAAGCAACTCCAGTCATACCAAAGGTAGCTCACAAGTACAAGCCGTGTGGGCACATGCCTTGCCGATGGACACCGCCATGTGCTTGGCCAACCTACTGTGCATCTTGGGCAAGTCCTATAAACCTTAAACCCTAACCCCCATGTACCCGCTATGTTCAGCCTTCACCATCGTCGGGGAGGTTATGTCTTGGGGCCTTGGGTTTCACGGAATTTCGTGTGCTAGCTTAAGTTAAGCAACTAAGCAGTTGAGGGCTGACTCTCTTGGTACCCCAGTAACCATTTTACCATAAGGGCACCCTGTTTTGTCTGGTTAATTTATAAGGGAACCTTGAACCCTTGAACCAAAAAAATGGACAAGGTACCACTGGACCACCAAGCTCTGTCCCTGGCACAGCGCAGCTAGGTGGCATCTTTGACTCGAGCTCCAGGTCTTCGCCGACATCGTCCAGCTCTGCAGTAACGGCCTGGGCTGCAAGCCTCTGCAACTAACTTACTGCTGGTTCGTAGGGAATGAAGGAATGAGGTACCCTATATAATCTCGTAAAGGGTATATGTATATATCTATAGGGGGATATAGGATACCTGAACTAAGTGCGGGGTTCAGGGGTTTAGGCCCGGCTTGCAAGCAAATGCCTCCCGGCACGCAGATGGAAGTTCCAGTCGCCCACTCGAACCCCTTCAACCCTAAACACGAAACCCTAAACCCTAAACCCTAAACCCTAACTCCCAAAGCCCATCCCCAACTCCCTTAAACCTCCCCGGCTCAAGGGTGCAAGGCCGTGGAGCAGAGCTCCTGTCATTCTCAGGCCCGTGCCTCCCCAGAGCCTGGCGGAGTTTAGGGTTTAGGGTTTAGGGTTTAGGGTTCCGGGTTTAGGGTTGTTTAGGGTTTAGGGTTTAGGGTTTAGGATTTCGGGTTTAGGGTTCAGGGCTTAGGGTTTAGGGCTAACAGCCATCGGGAACTGGCGTCTCACAGGTGGGGTGCTGGGCGGATGTCCCCTTCAGATTGGACCCCTTTTGAGGCCATGCGCTCCCAACAAGGCACGTGACTTCTATGATTCTGCCGGGGCCCGACAGGCTTCTCAAGTTCATCCCCAAAGGGTCCATGGACCTATATAGTATATACTTGGCCCTTCAAGGGGTTCCCATATAGTAGCTTTGGGGCCCAAGTATACACGATATGGGTCCATGGACCCTTGGGGATCTGCTAACTCTGCCGGCAAGACGACCCCCCGAGGATTTCACGTGCAGTAGCCGTCGCGAGGTGGACTTCTTGGTTGTCTTCTTCAGAGGCTCTCTGGAGCGGGACTCGGCAAGCGAAGGCAAGGTAGCATCACCAGGACCCACAGCATCAAAGTAGCCAAAGCAGCTGCTAAAGACCTGTAGCCCTAAACCCTAAACCCGAAACCCTAAACCCTCAACCCCAAACCCTAAACCCAAAAACCCAAAACCCTAAACCCTAACCTGACTCTGAGTAGGTGGCTAGGCGGCGAGGCTTCTCCACGACGCCGAGCCGGTTGTCTTGTGTTGAGCCGATAAGGTCCTCAGAGTGTGTGTGGTTTGTGCGAAAGTTAGGGTCAGTTCTCTAAATCACAAGTCCAACAATAAGTCCAATAATCAGTCCCCTAAACCCTAAACCCTAAACCCTAAACCCTCAACCCTACAGGGGGACCGCTAGATAGACGAAGCCAAGCAGTATGCGGCACCTCCAGAGACGACTTTCGACGCCGCGCCGGCTTCTGAAGGCCTTCAGCCTGAGCTCCTGTGGAGAGCCCTAAACTCTAACCCCCCAGTCCGTGCAGGGTTTAGGGTTTAGGGTTTAGGGTTTAGGGTTTAGGGTTTAGGGTTTAGGGTTTAGGGTTTAGGGTTTAGGGTTTAGGGTTTAGGGTTTGGGGTTTGGGGTTAAGGGTTTAGGGTTTTGGGTTTAGGGACAGCTCTCCCTTCAGAGCCGCCTTCCTGAAGACAGGCTTCTGGGTTTAGGGCTTGATGCATCTCAAAGAAGCGTCCTAAACCCGGACTCCTGAACGTGGCGATAGTGGCTTCGCAGGATCACGCGGCGAGTCTTCCTGGATGCTTCGGCGACTGCAAGATGTTCGCTGCACTGACGACTCGTGCACCGACTCTTGCTGACATGTGATGTTCGCATCGTTCATATTCATACACATTCATACAACTACACTCTTTACAGGCAAGAGCATGTCATCCCAAACCCCAAACTTCCTAAGCTCCCATAGAACAGGGGGCTGTTCGAGTTTACGGGCCGGTCGCAGAAGGTACCTACCCTAAACCCTAAACCCTAGACCCTGAACCCTAAGGTACCTACCCTAAACCCTAAACCCTAAACCCTGAACCCTGAACCCTGAACCCTGAACCCTGAACCCTGAACCCTGAACCCTGAACCCTGAACCCTGAACCCTAAACCCTAAACCCTAAACCCTAAACCCTAAACCCTAAACCCTAAACCCTAAGAGCCACCATAACCAGAACTGCCCCGTGTAGAGCCGTACTCTCAGGGGCGAGCCGACGCAGTGACCAAGACCGAAGGCACCTGCAGATCTTTAGGGTTTAGGGTTTAGGGTTTCGGGTTTAGGGTTTCATAGTGAATCCAGTCGTCGGGGTTTAAGGCCCAGACCCTCAGCCCCACCCAAACCATCTCATACCGAGCCTCCAACGGGGAACGGAAGCAAAAGCAAGACAACCGATCAAGAGCCACCCAGCCACCATCCACCCAAGGGGAGGGGGGGGGGAGAGAACAAAAACTGTTCGCAAGACAATGACGAGAAACCCAACAACGAGTACTAGTACTATCCACAACCAGCGTCCAGCCCTTTGCAAAAGCTCACCTGCGGTGCCTTCGCCGATGGTGCAGGAGCAGGAGGCGGCTCTTGGCTTAATCCCGCCGCCTAGGGCAAATGCCAGCATCTGGAGTCTTCCAGGCTAGGGTTTAGAATTCAGGGTTCCGTGATCCGCGCATGCAGCCCGACAGGAACAGTTGTTCGCAGGCCGATACCTGCAAGGACTGCTCACTGGACGAGGCGGGCATGTTGGCCTCAGAGGACTTCTTCTGAAAGCGCTGCGCAAGTCAAGGCAGGTTGCCCGTGATGGTGCAGCTGGCCAGGCTACGGAGCCGTAGGCTATTCTTGGACTGTTGGCACTGCGCAAGCAAAAGGCCACGTGCCGTGAGCACTCAGAGCTGTGCTTGAGAAGGAGGGCTGCTGGTGTTGCCCAACGCCTTGACTGCGAACGCAGAGAATGCAACAACCGAGTACAGCAAGGTATGCGCCTTCCAGTGAGGCCATAACCAGGACGGGCTACCATACCCTATAACCCCTTCAACAGGCCCTTTAAAGGGTCTTTGGGCGATTCTACCCTATAACCGCTCAAAAACGCCCTTTGTAGGCTTGGTTATGGGGATTACAGGGCCGAATCGCCCATCCTGCAAAGCCTCTGAGGGCCGTGCTGGCGGGGTGGCCACGGAGGCGGACGACGTTGCCTGCGTGATGCCGGCGCCGCCGGCCTGCACGGCTCCCTCCACACAAGTATAAGGATGTATAGATGTATATATATATATATACATTATATATATACACACATTATATATTTATATACATTATATATATATATATACATTATATATATATATCTATATATACGTACAGAAAAAAGGGTTGTTGTCAAAATGCCTGTTCCCAAAATTGACGTTGATGCGGCAGCACGTGCGTGCCGCCTTGTGTCGCAAGGAGAACCGATTCTTGATGTGGAGTGGCAACTGCTGCACTTGAAGGATCCTAGCGTCACTTCCTAAAAGGGTTTAGGGTTTAGGGTATAGGGTTTAGGGTTCAATCTTCAGCTGCTGCTGTCGGCCGGAATTGCCAGCGCTGCTACTGCTGGAGTCTTGGCACGAGCGAAGGTTGCTCCGTTGGCAAGCTTGCTGTGGTACCTCGCAAGCCGTTTGTCACAGCGGCTCGCCTGGCGCCCTCGGCTTCGATGGCACTCCAGTGAGCAGGCTCGCTGCACGCCATATACTACAGGGCCTGTCGTAGCTTAGTCGCTGTCACGCCCTTAACGTTTCCGCTCCGCTGGCACATCACTTGAAAGATGCGCGACTCAATGATTGTGATTCCGATGGTTGTAAATCTGTGTGACATGTTCAAGACACGTGGGCCAAGGTCTTCCTGGTTGTATTGAGAATTTGCTTGCGCCGAGCTAGCGCGGCGCTAGCGCGTAATACTGTCCTGCATTTGCACGATCTGATCGTATCCCGCAAATGAACGGAACGCCACCCACTTCAGAGCTTTCCAGCAGCTGATCGGGACCAACTACAGTGACTGATGCATTTCTTGCAGTGACTGATGCATTTCTTGTGGTGCGCCTTAAGCAACACTGGCTGGATTTGGTCAGTGATCACACGGGAATACATGGTTTGTATTTTAGCTAGCGCAAACCTAGCGTTTTTCTCGGCCACAATGGGGCTTTGGTGGCTCGACTTGCTTCCCGCCTTATCGCGAAGACGTGTCATTTAGATTAACTGAATAGATACGCGAATTTAGAATGCAACCCATATCCCTAACCCTAAACCCTAAACCCTGAATGTAACATAATAACGAGAATGACCATAGCGCTGATACTAAGAAGTCTTACTGGTTCTTAGTAGGGAATGAGGGAATGAGGTACCCTATCTCATCCATTAAAGGGTATATATGAAAGGGATATAAGGTGCCTAATTCCCCCATTCCGTTAGTAGCTAATTGTAACTGTACATACAACTGTTCTTATAACCATATTAGGGAAGCCGTGTTGGGTCAAGTCCTTCCAGTGGTGCGGCTGTTTACGACCGAACCTTGACCTGATGGTTGATTCCTGTGTTCGCGCTCCGTCGGAGCTATGGTGGAAGGAGAATCCAGTCCAGCAGCCAGGCAACTGCGGCGACCCCTTCAGCATGAACATGTACCTTGACGAGACAAGGATGACAGGACCGAACAAGCATCCATGGTCTCGGTGCTCTGCGTTTTTGCCGCTGACATTGGCACGGGCAAGGATGCCTCGCAACAGTTTGGACTTCCAGCCATCTGTGGGGATTGTGCATGTGCGTCTGGCTGCTCCAGCTCAGCCAGGAGGACCTCCAGGAACATTGTGCACCAGTTTGTAGCTCGAAGAGCCGAGGCCATCATTCAAGAAGATGCCCCGCCTGCATTCCGACTTTCTCAGATTGGTGCCACTAGGCTTCTGGAGTTGTTCGACAAGCCCAGGTTCACGCAAGTGAGTTTCAGGAAGCTGCGTGTCTCCAAGCGCAAAAACAACTGTGATGGCGTTGATCGACTTGGTTGCACACCGCTACATGAATAGTCGGAGTTCGAGAATGTTCCAGGAACATACCCCTCCAACGTGTACAAGCACAAGTTGGCCTTGGGACAGCCGCATCATTCGAGGAAGCTTTACCTGACCTGTACAGTTTAAGGCCTGAGCCGCAGGACTGCACAGTCTTTGTGCTTTTCCTTGTCGCTCTGCATGCTTGCAGTTCGTTTTGTGGGCCACTACAGCATGGCTACGTCTGTGTCGTTACTTCTCTTCCTGTAGCAGCCTGTCGGACAGGAAACTTGCTCTCACCAGTTCATATGACTGGTGCTCACGTTAATGTCCCCGCGCTGTCTGCGGGCTATGCTCGGAAGGCGGCTGAAGGCATTACCCTCAGCCCTCTTTGATGTGTGTTGCTTGTTGGACACTGCGACCTCGGACTGTTGCCTGCGGTTCCGCTGCCCGCTGAGCCCAGACATCCCAATAATGTGTGCTATAACCATATTAGGGCACTGAAGGGGCTTACAAGTGGGCCATAAGTACAGTTATAATTGGTTGCTAAGTACCATGAACCTCCAAGCAGGCCTCGAGAACTTGCGGCGGCACCTGGCCGGCATCTAGGCCCAGCTCGGCCTCGAGAAAAGGTGCTGCTTCAAGCGTAGGGGGGCTAAACCTAAACGCTAAACCCCGAAACCCTAAACCCTAAACCCCTAAACCCCAAACCCTAAACCCTAAACCCTAAACCCTAAACCCTAAACCCTAAACCCTAAACCCATTGTTGCCAGCTCCTTAGCTACGCATCCCAGAGCTCTTGAGAATCCGTCATGTGGGCTAACCGGACCAAAGGGTGCTACGGAACTCCCGCGTACTGCAGAGCAACGACTGAGTTAGGGTTTAGGGTTTAGGGTTTAGGGTTTAGGGTTTAGGGTTTAGGGTTTAGGGTTTAGGGTTTAGGGTTTAGGGTTTAGGGTTTAGGGTTTAGGGCTTAGGGTTTAGGGTTTAGGGTTTAGGGTTCAGCTTCCGACGGAAGTCCCGGCACTGAAAGGTAGCCTCCGCCCTGTCATCTGCACCAAGAGGCCGTGATCTGCTGAGCATTGCTACGCGTACTTGGTGCCGTCATGCCGAATTCGTGAATGGTTTGTGACCCTAAACCCTAAACCCTAAACCCTAAACCCTAAACCCTAAACCCTAAACCCTAAACCCTAAACCCTAAACCCTAAACCCTAAACCCTAAACCCTAAACCCTAAACCCTAACCCTAAACACTCAGGGGCTCACCAGGGGTGGCATCGATTCCGTCGGCACCTGAACAGCTTTCTGCTAGTAGAGCCAGCTTGGAGCCGTGGGTTGCAGGATTCGAAGCTGCAAGAGAAGGAGTTTAGGGTTTAGGGGTTTAGGGTTTAGGGTTTGGGGTTTAGGGTTTAGGGTTTAGGGTTTAGGGTTTAGGGTTTAGGGTTTAGGGGCCCATGTGCGCGCTTGGAGGTTCAGGGTTATTATACCCCCCAGTTATAGCTGTACTTCTAAGCCCCCCAAGTCCCCTAAGTAGGTTATAAGTAGATTTTTAGTAGGGGTTATAAGTACCCATGAACCTCCAAGTGGCCCATTGCAAAGGTCCGCAGTTATACACACTTGCGGGTGTCATTCGCTGGTTTTGCTCTGGAAGTCTCATGCGTCTGTGTCTTGGAGAGCAGGCCTACTTGGAGGTTCATGGTACTTAGTCTTTAATCATAACTGTACTTATAAGCATATTAGGGCACTTAGGGGGCTTATAAGTGGGTTATAAGTACAGATATAATAAGTTACTAAGTATAATTAGCTACTAAGTACCATGAACCTCCAAGTAGAACCCAAGGCAATGGCCTCGCACACACTTGACGGGCACGAGACCTCACGAACCCCAAAAACTCCTCCGCAATATGCCCCTCTAAATTCCAGTAGTAGCCTACTACACCAAGAATCCAAGCCCTAAACCCTAAACCCTAAACCCTAAACCCTAAACCCTAAACCCTAAACCCTAAACCCTAAACCCTAAACCCTAAACCATCAACAGTCTTGGACGCGCTCGAAACACGGAAGCTGCTCGAGGTTGCATCCCTGGGTGCCTTCGATGGCGCAGAAGGCAGCTCTTGGCTGATCCCCGCCTGCTTAGGGTTTAGGGTTTAGGGTTTGGGGTTTAGGGTTTAGGGTTTAGCGTTTAGGGTTTAGGGTTTAGGGTTTCTAGAGTTTAGAGGCAATCTGGGCGTAAAACTCAGTGACGCAGCCCGAAAGAACAATTGTGCGTGCACTGATGCCTGCAAGGACTGCTCGCTGGACGAGGCGAACATGTTGGCCTCACAGGACTTCGTCCGCAAGCGCTGCTTGCGATGCTGCAGTTGGCAAGGCGCTACAGGACAGTCTGGGGCCTTTGGCACTGCACCAGCAAATGCGGGCAACGTGGCATGAACTCTCAGAGCTGTGCTTGAGAAGGAGGGCAGCTGGTGCTGGCAAAAGCCTGAGGAGGCATCACCGCGAATACGGTGGAGCCAAGGCCACTTCTGGGGGCACTGCTGGTGGGTTGGCCAAGGAGGCAGACGATGTTGACGGCGTGATGCCGGCCTGCACGCACGTTGAGTCCGAGTGCTGAAATGCAGCCTCTGAATCATTCTTGCTGCATCACCTCGAGTGCCTTATGATGGCCTCCTTAAACTCAACCCGCCTAAAGGCCTTAACACTAAACCGTCTTTTTTTTACAACGCAGGGGTGGGAAAAATATTGGCCCTGGACCTCGATTGCTTTCGCAGCAGCCAGGATGGCATTTCGCCGTTCCAGCGGATCCTGGAGATAGTCATATCCCCGGTGTTTGGGGTTCGAGTTTCGGGATGCATTGGATTGGAGACCTTTTTTCTTACCTTTTTTCCCGGGTTTAGGGGGGGCTTGAGCACAACCTCCCATGATTGAGCCTTGCCTTCTCGCCATCACAGGAATGGAGTACTTGGAGCAGCTATCTCAGGAAACTCTTCGGAGTTTGGGGGATCGCCATGTGGAGATCGCCAGATTGCGAGCAAGAGTCCATCGACATCGAAAGCAGCCCTTCGCTCGCTGTCCCTGCAGTGACCAAGGCCATGGGCCTGCCCAGGTGCGAGGTAGTGTAGGGGCCTGAACAATACCCTAAACCCTAAACCTTAAACCCTATAATATAACTACAAAGGGACCATAAGGGAGTACTATTTGTAAGTGCTCCGACCCTTAGGGTAGATTACAAAGGCTGCGGGTCACCTGGCACCCCGCGAAAAAACCCTCGCAGTAACGGCACCTTGATGACTCATGTTAAGACACCAGAATAACAATACCGACCTTGTGAAGTGCCGGGAAGTCCAAAGCCTAAACTGCGAATTAATCAATGATGTCCATAGTTGGTACGCGATCCTCGTTGACTCCGTTGCAGCCGCTGCTTATGCAAAGCCGGAGACGCCGTAGACTCGGGTGACGCCATTGTCACACTGCTGACGATGTGAGTACGGTTGCATCCGTTGACGTTGACATACGCCGTGGACTCTGCGCATGCCGCTGACGCCGTTGACATCTCTGCGTCTGCACGCCACGTCTTCGCGCGGAAAGTAATGCCCTCGCATTTTCGCGTCGTCGCCCAAAACGCACGCAACCCTACGGACATCAACGTACTTTTGAATACTTGTTCAGGCCGCAACCCATGCTGAAACCCAGCCCACTATGCAGAAAGCCGACTTGACCACAAACAGCCCCCCCTCACCATCATGCCGCCGGACTCAACTCTTTTTTGTTGGGGGCGGGGTGGTAGTTTCGGGTGGGGGAGAAAGTCGCCCCATGAGACCCATGAGACCCATGAGCCCTATAAGCCCTAAACCCTAAACCCTAAACCCTAAACCCGAAACCCTAAACCCTAAACCCTAAACCCTCAACAAACTCTTCCGAGCAAGCCAGCCTCTCAGGATCCTGCAGCACGTGCACCTTGCAGGCCCGGCTTTACTTAGGGTGTAGGGTTAGGGTTTAGTGTTTAGGGTTTAGGGTTTAGGGTTTAGGGTTTAGGGTTTAGGGATTAGGGATGTTCCCCCTTCTACTAACAGTCCTTCATCGGCATTGTAGTACCCCCTATTAAATTATTATTAGAATCCCCATTAAGGACTGCCAGGATAAGGGGGAACATCCCGTATGGTGAATTCTCGAAATTTGTGGTCCCTTTTGGGATCCTTATCACAAGGTGGCCCTCTTATTTTGGGTAACTCCCCAACAAGGGGCCATGATTTCGAGAACTGACCATGTAGGGCTTAGTTTGGGCTTCATCGCGCTTTTCACATTCGCTCCGCATGCCAGCTCAGCCTACGCGCCCCAAAAAATCCGGTTACAGCTACTAAACGGCTCTTCTCTCAACCCCCCAGGGCCCCTGGGCCTCTTCCCATCTAGGGTCGGGCCTCTTCCCATGCTGGGGTCGATTGAGGAGGTTAAGGCCACAAATCCCTCCTGTACTCGGATTTTGTGGAAACCCCAAATCCTGAATCCTAAACACGTTGTACACCCCAACCCTAAACCCTAAACCCTAACCCTAAACCTTGAACCCTAAAACCCTGAACCCTAAACCCTGAACCCTAGACCCAGACCTGCACGGTCTCAGGCGCCACTCCGCCCAAAAGTAGTGCTGCAACCTCCAAGTGGCGAAATTTGGATCATGGCCGAGGGGGGGCTTGTTGAGTTTAGGGTTGGGGTTTAGGGGTTATGGCTGTTGTAAGGGTAAGGGCATGTTTGCTTGGCCTTGTTTCGGGGGGTGGTAGCGATTGAGGAATCGGGATTTGGCGTGGGGTTCGGGGTTTGGGGAGGGACGGCAGGGGTTTGGGCTGTGGGGCCTCTAAAGCAACCATTTAAACGAGCACGGACATGCGTCAGATGGATTTGATGGCATTGAACATGATTGAACTTAGGTGGGTTTCGAGATCGTGCTCTTCTAAACTTTGCTGGAACCATACTTTTAGCCTTCAAAAGCCACAAAAACTATCACACCCCGCGCGTACACAAGCTTACAGAAACGTGTCTGGAGCTCTCACTTCCTGCCTCCTGCTGTTGCTGCTGCAGCAGCTGCTGCTGCTGCTCATGTTGCAGCTGCTGGCCTGGTTGCTGCTCCTGATGCGGCTGCTCCTGATGCGCCTGCGGCTGCTGGCGGTACGGCTGCTGCAGCTGGGCGGTCTCTTCTGCCTCTCCAGTAGCCTGCGCCGTCATCGACGGCGTAACGACCGTGTGGTGTACCTCAGGAGGGTCCGGGACCACATGGCCACATGGCCACTTGGGCTGCCGACCATTTCATTTCAAGGCGGGCAAGTCGCTCAACAGCCACGACTCATGAAGATGCTGCATGCCCAAAGAGCCCAATACCAATACCCTTGAATTAAGGAATATACTTAAATTCTGACAAGGGGTATTGGGCTCTTTGAGTGCTTTGCAAAGCTAAGGCCACATCCGGTTGAGGAGCATGGGCAGCTTGCTGCTTTGCCGCCTGGCCGGGCGGCTGGCTCGCTTAGAGATCAGGGCTTCAGGATTTTGGCCAAACCCTAAACCCTAAACCCTAAACCCTAAACCCTAAACCCTAAACCCTAAACCCTAAACCCTAAACCCTAAACCCTAAACCCTAAACCCTAAACCCAGAAGTTGAGGAACCGAAACCTCGTAGTAAGAAGGCCCCTCTGCCTGCAGGGCATTCTCGACGACCTGAAGCTGGTAGTTGGCATCCTGGTGATTCAAAAAGCCGAGACCCAAGAGCAACTAGAGGGATAGGGTTTAGGGTTTAGGGTTTAGGGTTTAGGGTTTAGGGTTTAGGGTTTAGGGTTTAGGGTTTAGGGTTTAGGGCAACCTAGGTCTAAGAAGGGTGCCCTTTCTGTTTTATAGGGCCCCTAGACCCTTAAAAAGATGAAAATGGCCTACTCCGGGTCCTAGAAGCCCTCCAAATATCTAGGAACCCGCCCATGCCCATGTGGGGGTTTACGAGAAGAGGTGAACCCAATATGGATCCCCAAATAGTAGGATTCCCTTTTAGTAAGGCCCCAAAAAGGTACCCCTAATTTCGGAAAACCTCAAATATTCCCCTAATCCCAAACCCTTACTAACCCTAAACCCTAAAACCCGAAGCCTGTGACTCTGGTGCTGTGCCTGAGCCATGAGACCCACATTGCCGCCCAGGGAGGCGAGCCTAGGGGGTAGTATGACTTATCCCTCCCCGATTTGAAAGCACATCGGAATGTCGTTTGGGGTAGATTTCGTGTTTGACGCAGCTATGACTGCTGAGCGCTGGCAGGTGGGAGGAGCTCAGGAACGCCCTGGTTCAAGGTTTGGAGTCTAGGGGTTGGGTTTACACTTCCTGGCGGAAATTCGGTTGCAGTGTGCATCTCCTAACCAGGGCAAAGGCCTCCCCCCCCCCCCCCCCCCCCCCCCCCCCCCCCCCGCGTCTCCACCCCCCCCCCCCCCCCCCCCGCCCCCCCCCTAAACCCTAAACCCTAGGCCCTAAACCTTAAATGCCTGGGACATCGGGCCATGGGTCCCCGCAAGTCGTGTTTGGCCCAAGACCAGAAGGTTGCAAACAAAAAAACCGCAAGCTCCAAGGATCTTTCGTGTGTCGACATACCTGAGACCTTTGGGCCTGTGACGGTGGAGATATTAACGCATATCAGCAACAAATGGCAGTTGCCCTCATGAAGCTGTGACAGCTGTAGCGCTTTTTCTATACTCCCCTTAGAACCTCAATGACAATCATATTTTGCATATTCCCGTGGGTTATACATACACAGATATATATATATATATAGAATAACAATTCCTAAAGGGGCTATAGTTTTAAACAGCAACTATGCAGCACAAGTTCATCTGGGTCAGCAGCTCTCCAAGGGACTGCTTCACGGCTTCATTTGCTGCGTCTCCAGCTCCCTGATGGGACATGCAGCTCAGTCTGAAAGCCGAAAACCCAAGCCATGCTCTCTTTGCTCTCAGGTATGACTACAGTCGCAATGGCCTTTCTCCGCTCTTGATACATTCGCCATATTCGAGTAGGCCGCTGCTTACGCTCGACGTGCCAAGCGGCTGACTCAAATGAGGCCGCACCTCGAATCAAGCACCGTCCGTGTCTTAACTCGGGGGTTGTGCTCTGGTCCTTGAGGCGCCGGGAACTCTTGCTTCAACTGAAAGATCTTGCAAGCATGCCCAGCTGACATAAGCCCTAAGCCCGCTTAAACAAAGGAGCAGAGTTCTGCTTGCCATGTTGCCCTCTGCCCATCGGGCGCAACACGAGCTCAACAGTGCCCCTGCCCGCCCTGTACAAACGACAAGCTCGAAACGATCATGCAGGTCTTGCTGAATAAGTTCTCAGACTAAGAAAGTCAGACCAGAAAGGGCCCCCAAACTTCTAACCCCCTCAAACCCTAGATACAGATCAGCGCAGCGACTCTGCAAGTAACTTCCTGAGTTCAAATGGGTCCAACAGCCCATGACCATGGTCACGGTGGTATCATGGGTTCCCCTTAAAGATAACCTCTAGTAGGCTTAGTTCTCCCTAGATAGCCTTAATTAAGGGGGGAATCTAGGGGGGTAGTATACATCTCAACTAGGCTTAGTTATCCGTAGATAGCCTTACTTAAGGGGGGAAACCTAGGGGGGGGGTCGTATAGAGGGGTAGTAGGGGGAACCCATGGTGGGTAGCGCGCATCCACAAATGCTTCAAAGCTTCTTACGCATGGCCTCCGGTTCTTTGTGTGGTCAGTTTGCTGACTTACAATCTCTCTCTCTCTCTCTGTCTCTTCATGTCCCTGTTGTAGCTTACAACCTTGCTGCGTCATATTTGGGCACCCCAAAGGGACAATTTACAGAACTTGCCATGTGAATTAGATCAACATCATTCTGCATGAGTGAGTGAACAGCTTGGCTTGACAAGTACCGGGCGCTTGCGCTCTAAATGCCTGTGGCAGTGTCTGCCTAGACAGCACGACAAGCATCAACGAAACAGAGCCACGTTTGAAGTGTGTTCACACAGCCTGTGAACATGCGTGCGAGCAGATGAAGCCTTAGTGGTGTTGCCTCTGTTTGCAGTTCATGCTACGAGTAATGCGCGCACGGTTGAGTGGCTCTCTACAAAGGCGACCATGTTTTGTGGTCAGTCGCCACTGGCAAGTCCTTGTGGGGCCAGCGCTTGGGCCGGAAGTCTCTTCCTGAATATCATCGGCTGCAGCAGCATTGCCGTGCTCAGGCGAGACGCCAGCTTGTATGGTATAGTCAACACTCTCAAGATCAGACTTGCGGCGAGGAAGAATCTACGCAGCCGACTGCGAAGATACAAAGTCGGGCTCGCCAATCGGTGACACCGATAGGCTAAAAAATCGCAGCACAAAGAACAAGATAAACAATCGGGTTTTCCCGTAGCGTGCATGCTTCGCTATTATAATCGATCCAGCCTCCAGCTGGACTTCTGTTCAGATTCCGTTTGCTGTACAATCTTGCAGGACGTTGAGAAGAGGCTACAATCACAGAAGGCTATGCCATGCTCCTAGCGAGAGGGCTTTGGCGTCTCTATGCGTTTTGTGCGGACAGCTTTGACAAAGCCTCGTGGAGACGCGCGAACCTGTTGGAGAAATCGTCGAAACTGTTTCCTAGGTGTCGATTTCGACAGTCCCCAACATGATTTATGATTAGGGCTCCATATAAAAAACAACAACAAATGTATGTATAGTTAGGGCTCCATATTCCAAAAAAAGGAAAGTAACAAACACCATCCCAAATCGAGACCTGGTTTCACATGTTGCTCATGCAACCTGCGGTCTGGTGGCAACGGAACATGTCGAGGTACATCACCAGTCCAAGCAGCCGAGTCCCAGGAAGACACACACCTCTTCTGGTTCGACTGGGAAGCCGTGCCATCTGCTTTGCCGGAATCTGCGGATGTCATTTCTTTCAACTGCTGGTCCATCATGGAACTTCCTGCCTGATCCTCCCGAACCGAATCACCTGCAGCTTTTCTTGGGCCCTTCTCCAAGACGTGCGTCGGTACGACTGCACGCAGGCTGTGGAACTCGGACGGTTGCCGAGTGGAACGCGAGGCCACAGACACACCTGCGACACTTGCTCCACAGCCCATGTTGCTCTCCCTGTAAGGTTGGGGAACTCTGGCACCGATTCGGTCGACTCGAGCCAGGGTCCATCTTCAAGCGGCAGGTATATGACATGACACTTGTCACAACTGGCATGAGCGAGCAACCGTGCCAGCGGGCGCACGTTCCATGTCTGTGGCGTCGTCTGCACGGACCTGGCAACGGCCAGGAAGTTCACCTTAGCGCCAGCATGGTGAGGAAGCATCCCTGTTGCGCGTACTAGTGCCATAGTGCGAAGGAATGCCGGTTGCCTCTTCAGTAATTAGCTCGTAAAGGAGGGGTTTTCCAGCTTCTTCGCAGTTTTTCAAATAAACATGAGTGGGTCTACCCATACCTGTGGTGCTATAGCATGACAAAAATCGTCAGACATCGCTGCTAGTGCATGTAACAAGTAGCCTGTTCCTGTGCTCTTGAGAGGGAGCCGTAAAGCTGTGGAACTCTCATTCCCGTTTACTGTCATACCTGATCAGATACCCACTCTTGCAGTTGTTGGGCCTGCTTTTGCATTAGAGACTCAAATTAAGGCTGCTGCAGGATCGAGGGCATGGCAGATCTGTGTCCCAAGATACTAGCGCATTGCAAGTGAACTCGGTGAGGGACTTCTTTTTGCCTCAGGCTAGCACTCAACCTCGACCTTTCAAGGACGAAGCCTAAGCCGTCCGTGCAGTGACCTCACGTAGCACTCGCTGAGTCAAGCGTGGAAGAACTTGGGCATCAGCAGCTCAGAGTATGCTGGACATGGCGAAGTCAAAGCACTACATTGACAAGCGATTTGCGAGTTGACTGCCGATGCTACGTGGTGGGCATTCCTAATTTCTGATGCAATGCGCTGCAAGTCGCTCCCATGAGGGAGCCTTCTGCAACCGACACCAGCACCAACATGCTGAATTACCGCATTCCGCCTGAATTGCCTGCATGCCAGGGGTCCCTGGTGGCAAGAAGTGCAGCCGTGAGGACCTAAACCCTAACCCCTGACCCCTAACCCCTAACCCCTAAACCCTAAACCCTAAACCCCAAACCCTAAACCCTATGCCATGTCCTACAGAAGAGCACCGAAGTCGATGTAAAGCTGGCCAGGAGCCATCTGCTGCGCTGCTTTGACAAGGTTGGTCATGCCGACCTGTGCAAGTTCAGGGTTTAGGGTTTAGGGTTTAGGGTTTAGGGTTTAGGGTTTAGGGTTTAGGGTTTAGGGTTAGGGTTTAGGGTTTAGGGTTTAGGGTTTAGGGTTTAGGGCAAGAGCCTAACCCAACGACTTCTGAAGGGTGTTCTCGATTCTGGTGCCTTTTCAGAGACCCCGCGTCCTTTCAGATGGGTTTAACCCCAATGAAGTATCGAGAAAGGGACCTTGGTGATGTAGAACAAACGCTACGCACCCTAAACCCCTAAGCCCTAACCCTAAACCCTAAACCCTAAACCCTAAACCCTAAACCCTAAACCCTAAACCCTAAACCCTAAACCCTAAACCCTAAACCCTAAACCCTAAACCCTAAACTGTCAACAAACATCTTGGAATCCAAGCAATGTGGCCTTGCTTCCACTTGCGCCTTCAGCGCTGCGACATCCAAGTACCGGATCAGCGTGGGCAGCTGAGCAGCCGAATAAGTTTTAGGGTTTAGGGTTTAGGGTTTAGGGTCTAGGGTCTAGGGTCTAGGGTCTAGGGTCTAGGGTCTAGGGTCTAGGGTCTAGGGTCTAGGGTTTAGGGTTTAGGGTTTAGGGTTTAGGGTTTAGGGTTTAGGGTTTAGGGTTTAGGGTTTAGGGGGAGCTGAAGGTCTACCGGCTGACATGCGGACACGCAGGATATCCATCGTGCTAGGTACCTTTCGGAGGCACATATTACAAGCTAGAGCAAAGGAGTCAAATCTGCCGCCGTTTCACCGAAATCGTTAAGCCGAAGCTTCACAAGCTTCGGGAGCCTGCGAGACGGGGAGGACGGCATCCTTACAGTTGCCACGGTCGTCCACCTGCGTAGCACCGAATATGAGGAAGGAAGGGATACGAGAAGCTGAGGCAAGGTGGAAAAGGAGGGACAGGCCCAGGGTTTAGTTCTAGGGTTTAGGGTTTAGGGTTTAGGGTTTAGGGTTTACGAAGTGCCCAGCTGATCAACCCCCACTTGGTCCTCAACCCCCCCACTTGGTCCCTGAGGAGGTCCAGGGAGGCCTTCTCCAGGTCCTTGGGCATCGCAGCGCAGACATCCTGCCAAGCAGCCTCTAACACCTGCCAAAGAGCAGCAAGCCAGGGTTTGGCAAAGGGTTTAGGGTGCACCTTTGGGGTTAGGGGTGAGGGGTGTACCTTTGGGTTTAGGGTTGAAGGTCTAGGGTTTAGGGCCACCCACGGGCCAGCAAACCATTGGTCTTCCATTGACACATCCAGGGCCCTGCACGATGTCGCTCCCCCCCCTCTCTGCACCCTAAACCCTAAACCCTAAACCCTAAACCCTAAACACCCTGCGTCGACAGTCTTGCGAAGCCTCGGCCATCTGTCCACCCAGGCGCAGCGACAGCCTCGCCTGGCGTTCGGCAGCCTTGTGCAGGTGAATTCTGGGGGTTTACGAAAATGGGGGTTTCGGCTTTAGGGTTTAGGGTTTAGGGTTTAGGGACCCTAAATAAAAAATAGATCCCCAAATAGTAGGATCCCCTTCTACGAAGGACCCCAAGAAGCTCATATGATCGGCCCCTAGTTAACTCTCGAAGGTGTGGCCCGGCAGAGTCTGGGACACTAGACATCCATGCATCTCATTCGTACGTTCTGCCAAAAGACCAGTGCAATCGTTGCTGTGGCACCGCCGCGGAGCCGAACGTCGATTTGGGCCTGGAGCACATGGGCTTCCTGTCAGATCGTGCCAACCCATGCAGCATTGATCATCGTTCTGCTGTTTGCAGTTGCCTCTGTGGCTCGCGTCACCAGACAGGTTCGAGCATAGCGGGCCTGCCTTAGTCATGGGCGACACAGCGAATTCGCCATCGCCCATCGCATGACTAACTAGAGCATGCCGCCAGCAGTACTTGTGCAAATCATGTTTAACCAAATCAAAACGAGCAGCTCAAAGCAAGCCAGCCGACAGATAACGACAGCGAACACTTCTGTCATCAATGAAGTCTGCTCAGGATCAGAACAGGCTGCCCCTACTCTATCAAAGTTTCTTCCCAAAACTCTCAGAATCCCAAAATGCCACCCCCCCCCCTAAACCCTAAACCCTAAACCCTAAACCCTAAACCCTAAACCCTAAACCCTAAACCCTAAACCCTGCATCCTAAACCCTAAACCCTAAACCATACTTCATAGTCATAGCCAGCCCAGGATAAATCTGCAGCTGCGGATCTGCAGAGCGACGCGTCTAGCCTTCGTCCGTAGCAGACGATGCTTGGCCTCCACTGCTTGGGTTTAGGGTTTAGGGTTTAGGGTTGAGGGTTGAGGGTTTAGGGTTTAGGGTGTAGGGTTTAGGGGCTGGGGCCCAAGCCCTGGATCACGAACCTTGACGCCCTAAACTCCAAACCCTAAACCTCAAGACCTTTGCAATATTCTCTCATATACATATACACCCTTTCATTTATCTACTGATTTCGTGCTATAATAATTATAACCATAATCAGAATCAAAATAACAAAACAATAGTAACAATGGTAACAACAATTCTCATAATGATAACGATGATAATAGTCATCACAACTTTAATAACAATTAATACTAATAATAATAGCAATATTCATAATAATAATCCTAATAATGCCAATAATATGTATGAAGCCTATAAGCTGTGCAGGAGGGCCATGCTGCGCCTCTTTGAGTTCCGTGCGGCTTCCCTCCACGGCTTGACGAGCCGCCTCCACCTGGATGCGAGGTCGCAGGTCTTAGGACTTGCGGGGTAGGAAGGGGTTTAGGGTTTGGGGTTTAGGTCTAGGGTTTGCTAGCACTTCTCGGGTTTCGCGTGCTACTAGAATTTGGGGTAGCTTCAGGGCATAGGCCCTGTAATTAAGCATGTAGGATTTAGGGTACGGTGGCATCTTGGCAGCATTCCTGGTGAACGCTGGAACCAAAGCTACAGCTACGAGCACATGCGACTCGCACACACCACCCCCCCATCCCCCAAACCAAACCCGAAACCCTAGACCCTAGACACTAACCCCTAAACCCTAAACCCCCCCGAACCAAACCCAAAACCCCAGACCTGTGAGATTGCACAGGGCATCCGAATCTCCTCTGTAGCATCGGACCTGAAAGATCTATAAATAAATATGCATTTTATTTTATATTATATATACGTACGCACATGTGAGCAACAATCAAATAGTATAATGGAAACGTTTCGAAAATTAGAGCTAGAACTAGTAACTAGAATGAGAACAGAACGCAGAAGAGGAGTTCCAATGATGTAGATCCATCCCGGCGTCCTGAACCCAGAATCCCCTGCCCTCCCACCTTCTGCTCGAGCTCGTGAAGTACAGCCTCCTCTTCCTGCAGAGCCTGGGAGGCTTCTTCGGCCTGGATCGGATGACCGGCGGCTTAGGGTTTAGGGTTTAGGGTTTAGGGTTTAGGGTTTCGGGTTTCGGGTTTAGGGCCTAGGGTTTAGGGTTTAGGGTTTAGGATACGGAACTGCCATTTACGCTGCAGAAGCCATCAGGGACGCACGGCAAAGAGCCTTCTGCGCCATCATCTGCTGGTCCTCTTCGGCCTCTTTCATCGCCTCCCACAGGACTGTAGCACTTTGCCGGCGGCGACCCTTTGTTAGAGGGAAAGTGGGGGGAGAAATGTGCCGATGGTCCGCGTGACTCTCATGCAGGGGCAGTTGCAGGGAAACGGTAAAGCCTGCTAAATTAGAGGCCCCCGTATGGGAAACCAATCATGGGTTCCCCTCGCACCCTCACAAAGGAGACCAAGCATGCCTCAAAAACCCCACCCGCCCCCCCCCCCTTCTAATTACGAGTGTTCACTTTCCCCCCCCCTCCCCCAGGGTCCTGGAGCCCTCGCCGCAGCATGCCCAGAGACCAGGGAGCTCAGGCCGGGCGATGCTCAAATTGCGTCCTTTTGTTTTTTTTCGCCGCCTCCCGCCCGCTTCCTGGCCCCCTCTGGGCCCCTGCCTAGCTACAAACAAGCCGGGACCTGGCCTCAAACCTTCGCCCGTGGCCATCGCTAACAAAAAAGGGTTTTTGGGAGTAAACGACTGTCATGAGTTTAGGCCTA